TTTTGAATATCAAATTTTGGAAAAAAAATATTTTAATATTTTAATCAAAAATCGACGATTTTATTCCTTCGAAAATTGTAGTTATTTTGTCGTAGGTAATACAAAAGATATTAATTGCAGGACTAGTTCTATCCATGGCACCATAGACTATTATTTTCTTTGAACAATGGCATTTTCAAAAGATTTAATCAAATTTTAATCTATTTTACCATTCTACAGTACCTACGTCGTTATTGTYTATTTAATTAAAAAAATTAATTTGTGATGATTTTATCAAAAATTAATTCAAATCCAACTACTGTATAACTAATGGAAAAATAAATTACTTTCAGTGTTATTAATATATTATAAAATATCCTTAGAAATATATCACATCATACCCACTCACAATTTTTTTTCGCGTGTACAATGATTTATTATTGAATTCAATTTTAACATACTAACAATTACTGCAGTTATCTATACTTAATCATAATTCACATGTTCAACATTTAATGTACAGCAAAGCGAGTTCCATGGTTTTTGTTGTATATATTTATTATATTTAAAACCAATAACCACAGGATATTATAATGTTGTAATATAATGTAAAAAATCATACTTGAATAGATTTTCTAAACAATGGTTTGTGGTGGCACCACACAATTTATGCTTTTTAATTTTTTTACTCTCGATTATTTTATATTGTACTATATAGAATGCTTTCGCTGTTAGGCAATCTAACTGAGTAAGATATTAAACAACCTTACAGAAGTTTGTTTATTGGACACCCWGTGGAAATTTATTAAGAAAAAATAAATCTGAAGTACGTCTACGATAGATAATTCAATCATTGTCGATATGTTGTACAGGAATTCCAAATCGCCGAACAGCCGTCGATCATCACGTTGATTGAGTCAGCCGTCGGTGCCAACTCGGACACGTGCAGTATATGCGTCGGATACAAACATCAGTTTGACATCATCACCGACGGATCGGGCACCGCCCGCCGGTTGTTCGCCGTCCAAGAGGGTACCAAAGCTCACCTGGTGTCGGCCACCGATCTCTACGAGGACGAAGAGCCCGAGTTGCTGTTGTGCTATAACAGTAACGACCTATTTTTTTTCTTTCGAGCACACACACTTACACATACACGCTTACACTTACATTAGCAACCATATAGACATATAGGCGCAACTAGACCTCTAAAACGTGGGGTGCTATACTATTAAAAACATAAAATTGATGTTATTTCATTATAATTATAATAGTTAGATCTAAAATATCAAGGGGTGCTAAATTAGAACTTGGGGGTGCTAAACACCCTTTTGCACCCCCCTAGTTGCGCCAATGCATATAGACCAATTTTATAGCCAATTTTCTCAGTCGACGTTTTGATTTTCGTAAAGTTCGTTTCAATTTTATTWACTCGAACCGAATATATTTCTGGTCATATTATTACGTAGATCATTATTTTATAGTAATCATTAATAATTATTATGTATATTTATGTATCGATGATTAGTATAAGAAAACAACGGTTCGTTGCATAATTCGTTACACACTCGCATTGCCTCAAAAATATTTAAAATTCGAATTGAAAGCAAAATATATTATTTTTTTCAACCACRAAATTRAATATCAAAACTAATWTATTCGATAATTACGTTTAAAAACCACCCATTGTTAACATAGAATAAATTATATCGCTAAATATTTTGCTTATACTATAAATCAAAAATCTATCGTTTAAATATAATTCGGGTATCTCGTAACCATCACCGTGTTTACCTCTGGTACTTATTAGTGACAAAAATCCTTCTTAACATATTATTATATTTATTGTCAATATACATATCCGAGCAATACCAACATGTATAGGCACAGATGTAGGTACAGGAAATTCGATGTTTAGGTTTTACTTTACAATATTTCCACATCACGTTCTCCATTTTTATGAATCGGGGTTGACAGATCAATTTGAGTACCATGATATATAAATAAAACATATTATCGGATAATTCAAAGTAAAATACTAAATAAATAATGAAGGTAATGTTTAATCGGTATACTGCGTTCTCTATTGTAACTACAGACACTAATTCGGAATTTTTGGTATACCTCATTAGTGAAATAAGCATGATTATATGTTTGTATATAATTATAGTTACGATCTCATTCATAATGATTTTATATATATATATATATATATTTAGCACTACAGGCCATTTAGCTCTTTTGCTGTCAATAATAAATTCTTCCATTCCTCACTATTGTGATTCAATATAATATAATATTATTTATATTATATATTAAATATAAATATAATAATATATACCTATATACATATAGGTTTTARTATATAGGTTTTTTATTCAATCCATATTATTTAGCTGTGTACCTACAGTTTCCTCGTCCTCATAAAGTTCGAACGGCTCTGGCAATACACTGCCGATTTGTATGGAAAAATTATACCCCCCAATGTGCGTCATATTTTTCAATTTAAAAAATAAAATAAGGTCTCTCAAACTTTATAATGATAAAATATAATTTATCGGTGGGCGTACATTATGATATCGGTGGTCGGGAGGTATGATATAGCGTGTCGATTAACCGTCTCACCTCTCCCTGACAACACTGCTCATCATGATCATGCCACGCACACACCACAGTCCAAAAAACATCGATAAAACCAAATATTATAGGCATGCGAAGAATTRTATTGCAATTTATATTGTGCGAGATAATCCATTTGTACCAAATATATGCTGATTTGTTCAGTATAAATAGTCTTGGGGTGGTCAAATAGTTTCCGTGCAGAATGGAATGAAAATACCGAGACATTCCGTTAACAACTGTCCACTGTTGTCAAAATAATTAACAGTAGTCACAGATTCTTCTGTACTCATAGAAACTTTAAATTATTACGAATAAAATCAAAACAATTCGTTCAATATTCGATATTTTCTAAACCAAAATATTAGTAATTTTCTTCTTTGCAGGGTAACAAAATTAAAATTATAAATTACCATTTTTAATAAGAAATACGTTTTTTCTTAGAATATTACCGGGTTAAAAGTAATTTCAAGATTTTTTTTCTTAAATCAGAAAAATCGACTGAAAAATATACACACATACATTCATAAATACATACATTCCTGGGTGGATGCACACACACAAATACGTCACGTATACATTTTGATTAAATTCCACGTGCTTAAATTCATTACAAGTTCTGTATATGATTTATTCACGTTCGAATTCTTTCTAGCATATTAATATTGGCTATACATATAATGAGTTTATAATTAATTCACGCTTTGTGTTTTATAGACACTTGTCATTTTCAAAAACTCAGCGAGACGAAAAATACGACCGAATTTGATTTCCATTGGAATTCCATTCCGAAAGACATAGGTAATTATAATGAATCATTTGTGTGATGGACTGTATTATATGTATAAGCGATGCGTATAATAATTATGCATTGCGGTTTGGCGTGYCGGTGAAAAATCAATCTTTGCAAGACCGCAGAATCGTTCAGTTGAGTTCTGTAAAACGTCTAACGGTTTTTACATTTTATTATATATTTTTTATCCGTCTGACGTGACATTTCACTGTTTCATTTTAATGTCAATTGACATTTTTTTTATTTATATTTTCACCTACATTTAAATGTATGTTATAAATATACATTAAATGATCATATTATATATTATATTATATTATACACTATGTGATTTTTTTCAAGAATAATTTTCTAATTAGAAGGGAACATCTGGATACGCCAAACATAGTATGGAATATAATATGTGCATATGTAACTTAAATTTTCCAAAATTATTATCTATGGTTGAATCGCTGTAGTAATTGTTGTTACTATTCTTACTATTTTAACTCAATGGAATAAGATAATATGTCTATTTTCCAAACGGTCATAGCATAATACTGCAATAGTATTATTAAATAATAAACATGTACCTTATAGTGAATAATAATATATGATACTTAGACATTAAATATTTAAATTATATAATATTATATAATATATTATATTAAAAATAAAATCATTTGTTTCCGCAGTGTGTTCTTTCCCGTATATCATAGCATTTACCACGGATACAATGGAAATCAGACTTATAATCAATGGCAATCTAGTTCAGACAATGGCTATGCCAAAACTAAAATTAATTTGTTCCAAGGTACTGAGTCATAGACTATTATATTGATTATTTTAAACCAAATTTCACATTTTGGAAAAAATATTTTTTTAATTACTTAGTATTATTGATATTATATTTTACTAATTATTACTTTTTTTTAAATATAGAACGACATATATTTTGCTACTACTGCTCCAGAATTTTTCCACGGGAAAATGGAGAGACTCCAAATGGACCAACAGAAAGCAGAACGAGAAAGCATGTCACCACCTGCTTCGCCACATTGTAATTATGTTTATTTAGTTATACAACTAGATACAGTTAAATATATAGATACTGRATCTTGGAACATGATAAATTATATCAAAAAGTGTATTTAATTATTATTATCATTATTATTATAAAATATTTTAAGGCATTATAAGTACAAAATACTCAGATCGCTTCAATAAACACTATTTCAGCAGTAATTTAACAATACGTAAAAAGTAGGTTTAAGACTCATATTCACACGAAACAATAAACTTATCTTATACATCATGTAGTCTATCCTTACCAACACTCTCAGATTTTCAACGAAAAATAAAAAATAATTTCATAAGTTCGTCTAAATAGTATATTATTATAACCAGCTAATAATATGGTCGATATAGAATCAATTAACGAACAAACAATACTTAACATTTTCACTGTACTATCCAACTTTGAAAGGTGTGGGATAAGGGGTGAAGAAAAATCAACATCCTCGTTGAACACATAATACGAATCTTAAATGAGGTAAATCAAAAGTCGTGTAAGAAAACGAGAATCTTAACATCAAATCACAAAGGTTGGAAAATCATACAGTAGCTATGTAGGTATTACGTTCCATCTCTCCGTGTACCTTATTTAAATCAGATGTATCAAACGGGTATTTCTTGTTCTTGAAATTGATTTAATACCGCTGAACATACTTCTACAATTCTGTATTAACATTATTTGATCAATATCTAAAGACCCGCGGCGGCCGTAGGTCTTCGTTTCGAGAGTCTAGCGAAAATACATTTCGATTTGAATACGCACTCGTAAAAATTCAATTCAAAATTGACTTCAATTAATTTGCCATGTTTGATTTATTCTACGAAGTTTATTATGCTTTTTGATAAAATAATAACAATAAAAAAAATAAAAAAAAACAATACCGTATTTATATGATGTATTTAGAATTTTCCCAGCGGAATATTGTAAGAGTAGGTACTTACTCGGTATAGCGGCCAAGACGTCATTAAACTGTTTCGACAACAATAGTGAATGCACAATCAATATTAGCGTATATTTTATTTTAGTCATATAATTGAAATATTTTGTTAGCAYACCCGCAGTGTAACAGGTAAATATATATGACATTGTATTCAATGCCTTACCATTTCTCGTTTAAACCGAGAAAATGTATTCAAAACTGTTTTAGGCATAGTTACGCATGACCGAGATTACAGAAATGTGCATACTTAGTTTGTTGTCGTTTTGTTTTTTATGTATCATAGGTATGATAGGTAAGAACAAAAAATAATTGTAGCAGCCAAAAATACTTTTAAATGTCTGGGMAAACAATAGTATTTTTAATACACGTTAATACGGGAAAATCTTTAGGTATTCATTTAATTCCCACTGTTTCGGTGATGACTTGTTTTCGAGATAAATCGTACTGTACTTGCACTGAATTTGCAWGTACCAACACATTATTATGTACAATAATTTTTCAGTAGTATAATAATGGCATCAACATAATAGAGTAAGTAAAATGCAACCAGTCTTAACTATATTTATTCGATTAACATCAAAAATCTATAGTAATAACTAATAATAAACAAAATAATAAGCTTAATTGAGACGAGGCGATGTTCACATTGTACTTATTATAATAATATGCATACATTATTAATCATAATAGTATGAAGTATTAAGAACATATCTTGCCATCTTGGGTACAATGGTGATAAAAATTCTGAAAAGCAGTCTGCATTAATTATACTATCAAACATATATTTAATGAGCATGACCTAAAAATAAATACTACCATAAATACAATACCATACATGGAATATTTTAATGAACTATTTTTTTTTCTTATAAATAAAAGATACACCAAATAATTTTTAAAAAAAAATTCCGCGGATTCCGATTATTTTATAACCTGTGCAACATGTACATAAGCACAAATAGAGGAGACTTAGGAGGTATTAGTATCCCCAAATGTTAAATTAGTACCTCAAATAATGTTAGTGTTTATGTATAAAAAATTACTCCTTACAAAACAAAATTCTAAAATGAGAAAATTCGTAGCTTAAGCACCCTTAGAACTTTTATTGAAATTGCGCCTATGCATATGGGATTTCGATTAACGTTAGCTACTTAGAAAATGTTGACGTGGAGTTCAAACTTAACGATTTGAATGGAAAATTTCAAAGAAAAATACTCAACTATTTCCTCTAACTCAACCGCCTATGCTACGTCCAGAATTCTAATGGATACCTTTCTTGTCATCTAAATGTGTAACGAAAACTTGTGACTAACTTAACATTATCCTACTTGAATTTCTTTATTCCTTATTCTGTCCCTCTGTGAAAGTTACATACTTCATAGGTGCACTTATAAGTTTTATTAGAATACCTTATAAAAATACATTATTGATATATTGATAGGGAAAGACTTTGGATGAATATATTACCAACCTTTTCTCTTAAAAAATAAATACAGATTTAGCACATCCTCCTGCGACTTTACGCGTACCTATGTAGTTCTGAGAAAATAAATAATATCTGTATATATATATATATATATATATAATACATATTATCAGTGCTGTAGTCTTAAAAAAAAGCAGAGGGTATACTATAAGTTATAATATTAAACATTCATACTATCATTAGGTATCACTTTGGTAGAGGGTAAATAACACAACACACATACATTAATTGTGAAAATTAAAATTAAAATTAAACATTTTTTTCCAAATAAATTTATTGAAAAATATTCCATAAATGTTGTCTGGATTCCGATTTTGTTAAGTTATTTCTTTTCAATATTAATAATAATCTAATGACTTTTATATTTATATTATTTGGTAATTTCATTACAACAGAGAGTATACGACCTTAATCAGCAGGTATACGGAGTTTATTAGAAATAACCAGAAAGTATACGGCGTATACCGTCGTATACCCTCCACTACAGCACTGCATATTATATATTATATGAATTAAATTTCGGATTTCGGATTATAAAATATCCGGAAGGAAAAAATATTTTATAGATTTCAGAAAATGTCGATTGGTATTTAATAACTAAATWAAATTAAATTGATCAATTATTAAGTAAGTCTATAACCTTGGAAATGAWTGAATTAATCAAATCATAGTAACTCATTAATCATTACAATCGTTCAACATTATAAATACAATGACCAGGCAATCGAAAACTACGCTTACGAAAATCTAAACCACGACCGACATCCGACAAATCCCAATCCACACACCGAATACTGTCTGGAATGTCTATAGTCCATTCAAAATTTGTTGATGACTCGGCGGCCAAGTTGTGCGCATAGGCGGCTGATCAAAACTGGTCGCCGCCGAGTCATCATCTCATTTTGAATAGACTATAGAAAATAATATTTTTATTGATTTGCTATAAAGTAAAAATTATTAGTGTCCGTATAGAAGCAGGTAAATAATGCCAGACGCTTCGTGTTTTCAGTGTCTCCGGAAACTAAACCATTGCGCCTGTACCGGATACCTTTGAACGCGCTCACCGGCGTGGTCGGCCCGTACGACCGAAAATGCGTCAACGAGGCCGACGACTCGAACGAGAACAAGACCGTCGAGAACCTCAAACTGTCGGATAGCAAGTCCAGGACGTCGGCGAGCAGGAGTTGCACAGCTTCGCCGACAATAGGTCTGAACGCGACTAATCTGCTGCTGCACAAGACATGAACGTTCCGACGTTTGTTACAATCACAATATAAATACAAAAATACTTTAACGCGTAATTGCATGATATTTTCAAAACAAATTATTATTACCGAGCATCACTATATCGGTGGCATATTCGAGCGGCAATCTGCCACCTTCATTTACCAGTCATGGTTGACCCGCAGACCACCGGCGGTACATTTTTTTTTTCATTTAATTAAAAAAAAAAATTATTTCCATTCCCGACGCCTGTGCGAAACCGCATTCACTTATATAATATTATAAACATTTTTATACTACCATCGCGGAGGAGGAGTGCGTCATATCATTATGCGATKCAAATGCACAATAAGTACATTCGTATGCCAAAACCGCTTGGATACACTACCTACTATACAGTCTTTTAAACTATTTTTGTTATTATAATAATAACTATCATTATTATTAACTGTATATTATATTATTTTCAAACAATTATGCTATATGATGAAAAAAAATATGCATTTAGCGTTTGAAAATATAAAACAAAAAATAACGCATAAAATAAATAAACATTTACAGAATTTTATTACATTTAACCGTTGCGAATCGTTGACTTATACGAAAAATGACTTGGCTCGACCCATATGATGCATAGCATACCTTACGGTACAGTGTATCGAAAGCACCGTACGTCTTCTGATCATATTAATTTAAGGATACAATTTTAAACTAATATAAATGTTTAAACGCACTTCTTTACTATAATAGTCAATATCTTAAGATAATGAATTTCTGTATTTTATGTTTTAATTTTTTATACACAAAAAGTTCACGAATATTCTAAAAGCCCTATASCTGTAAGTCTTTCTTTGTACCCTAAATTAAATTTAAATTTATCGGCTCGGTTTTTGAGTATCAACAATTATTTTTAATTCTAAAAACGTGATCAGATATAATTTTTTTTATTATTATTTAATTTTATGATTTGAATACTTTTAAAATGTTTAAATGTACCTCTAATGTTATACTATATACTAACGTGTTTTAAAAGTAAAGTTCAACAAATTACCTACGTCGCATCACCTATAGAATTGTTTAAAAATCATACGTAATAATATTTTCTGGATTAAAAATTAGTCTCCCTTGTATTAATATAAAAAACTTTAAACATTATTATTACAATTAAAAGAAACGAATATATTCAAGACTCCATGAAAAAATATTTAAGTATCATACATACTTCATAAAAATRAATATAATATTATATATACATTCCTCCGTTTCTCTGCGTTATATCTACAATATAAGATTATGGAAAAAAACAAATTTTTTTTCAATTAAATGATAATTGGATATTATATTTTATTTTTTAAATTTTTTAAATTTAGTTAATAATATTTAATTTAATTATTTACTACTTACCGTTATATTATTTCGTTTCGTCATTGGATTACTTGACAAAGGGCTACTATTATAATATCTATATAACACATACCTACAAATAATATTAAATAAAAATTCTTATTATATTCATAAAGTTAAATTTAAATTTATAACATAATGTCTAACCTTTAAATAAAGTTCCACTCGTAAATATTGGACGCGAATATCTTGACTCAGGATCGTGAATTCGGATGGTTATGTTTTGATAAAATTATGCACGTGATTAAAAATATTAAACGGCCGAGCTCAATATTTTTTAATTCCTTGATAAGAAATACTATTTAATGTGTATTAAAATTGTTAATTTACATACAATAACAATGCATTTTTCAAAAATGTTGAATTAAAATGTTACTTCCACACCACGGCATTATATGCTTTTAAGTTATATGAAAACTTTTCTGTACTCTACAACAGCGGTTCTCAAACTTGTTTTTTCGCGTACCACTAAGTATATTATCAATCAGTACCACTGATGATTAAAAATATCGACAATATCAACGATTATACCTATACGATATCTTATTTATTGACGTATTTTCCGTTATTTAGTATTTCCGGCATTAAGTATTAATMTTTTTTTTTTATATATGATTTTGCCATGTTAGTCTTTTATCGAGGTTTAGTTCTAAGTATTTAACAGTGTAAATATCAGGGATAGGTAAGTTATTTACAGTTACGTTAGGGCAAGGCCCGTGTCTTTAGGTGAAAGTTGTGTGAATGGATTTGTTGTTGTTTAATTTAATTTTCCGTTTGGCATACCATTCTGAGAGTAGATTTAGGTGGGATTGTAAATTTCTTGAAGCAATTAATGGATCATTATGTAAATATGACTTTATAGTGAGTATAATCAGCAACAATAGTATTTTGTGTTGAAGGTTGATCTTGATCGTCAGCATAAATATTAAATAAGATAGGAAAAAGTACACCTCCTTGGGGTCCCTGCACTAATTGTGGCTATATTTGAGGTGGCGAAACCTTGACGTATTTGAAAATGTCGGTCTGTAAAATATGACTTCATTAGTAGAAATATTGTAAGAGGAAGAAATTTACGAAGTTTAAACAGAAAACCTTCATGCCAGACTTTGTMAAATGCCTGGGAGATGTCTAAAAATGCACAAGTACAGTAGCATTTTTTTTCAAGAGAGTATAATACCTCTCTAGAGATTGTATCAATTACTCTATGTAAGGTGCTGTGTTTGGCTCTAAAGCCAAATTGTGAGGACGGGAGTAGATATTTTGATATTATGTGCGGATAAATACGTTTGAGAATGAGTCTTTCACAGATYTTTAAAAAGTATGGCGATAGACTTATAGGTCTGTAGGATGTTGGGAGGTCAGGAAGTTTATCCGGCTTAGCAAACATAATTATTTGTGAAAACTTCCAAAGAGTGGGGAAGTATGAGAGTCTCAAATAGCATTGTAGATATAAGTGCAGTATGAAGGCTTTGTTTGGTAAGCAACTAGCAACATTAGCCGTTATTAGATCAAACCCTGGAGATTTTTTGGGGAGAACAATTGGAGATCATACATTTAACTTCATTAGGTGTAAAGTATTTTTCTGGGCGAGCACTTGGTAAGGTAGAATGTAAATAATTTTCAATATCGATAATATGTTGCGGAATATGGATGTCTTCATCCGGATATAAAGTTTTAGAAAGGTGGGCTTTGAATACTTCTGCTTTTTCTGCATCTGAAACGGCGGGCGAGTTGTCAGCATTTAACAGCGGGAGTGAAGCAGTTTTTTATTTAAGCAATCGCTTGATTATGAATATTCGAAATATCGTCCGAATAAAAAATGACATCGTTGTACTTCCTAATAATATATGTTTTCATTGGAAATTAATATACAAAATTGAAAAATGCTGTCAAAAATTAATCATGCTAGCGTTGTTGTAAGTGCAGTACCATGTTTCCTATATCACAGTTATTTTAATATTATTTTCAACAACCCATCCGCGGGGGATCCTCCGTTCCTCCTAACCACCTGCAGAACTCCACCAAAAYATTTTCAGAACATAGAACGTTCTTCTTCTGAGGGAGTTTCTGTCTCCGGATATCGCGATTCAAATTTTTACCAACTATTTGCACACAACTCTTGAGCTGTAAATTTGCACAGCTGTATAGTCGCATACCTATCTCTACTCG